TTTGTAATACAAACACGGCCGTAACTGAACTCATTTCAGTTTCAACTTAATTTAATCAGTTATCTGGGGTGTTTTGTAGATGCTAGAGGTTTTAAACCTGATAACAGTCACTTAGCTCTATTATTCTAAGCACCGGCAACTGCAAATACCTTAGTACTCAGATAACGAATCGATGCTCTTCGCTTTTATTACAGGTTTGTTCCTAACTTTATAAAAGTATGTTCTCCTATTTCGACTTCATTTCTAGTAGAAGGTTTGTATGCGAACAAAAACAAGAGAAAATACTAGAGAGCGCTCTATGGTTTTTCGATGGTGAGGCTTTCCTCGTACTTTTTTATCCGGTCTAAAAGTCTACCCTTACTACCAATGCATATCCATCGGGGTTAGGTGCGGTTTTGGAACAAAATGAGAAACCTGTTATTTTTCGAAACGATTATTCAAATATGAACAGCGATATTCTCAGGACCAAAAGAATGCTTTATCTGCGATATGGGTAGTTAAATGACTGTACATGTACTTGTCAGGTGTGAAATTCTATATTGTAGCCGATTTCCAGGCGTTAAATTTTATTTGCCATCCAAATAAGTCATTTCAACTGTCATCTGCTGCCATGGGTCAGAAATGTAATTTAGAGCTGATTGTTTACGATTTCACTACTGAGCGCCAAGTAGTTAAAAGTATGTCACATTCAATTTTTCCAACATAGCCACTCTCAGTTTGAAAGAACACCTAAAATCCTGTACAATATACTCGTCAATATTTTGTGGCCGCCATAGTTGTAATGAAATTATGTTGATGTATTTGGTGCAAGCATAGATTTCATGAGTTTTACAAAAAGATAAACGATATATCAACACATCCTGTAGAGTTTTCGTGCTTCAACGGTAGAATAATAATTCCCTCACATTCAGATCTGCAGTGCTAGATGACCTTCATTCTGCCCATCTGGAAGCAGTAAAAATTAGATCACTTGCTTTTCAAACTTGTTATTAGCTTGAGATTGACGCTGATATAAGTCGAAAATCGAAAAACTGCTTGTTTCCGTAAGCTATCGAACACTAAACCTATTTGGTTTATCTTATGAGCTATGGTAACATATCCATATAAATTACCGTGGTTCATTTTTAACATCATATTGCGCTTTTGTTATTATTGATTCATTTGCATACATATAATACATTAGAGACGCATAGACCGAAAATAAACGTGTGGCAGATGTGGTAAATAACTGATGCATTTGCTGTAAAGTTAAATGATTTTTTGTTGTGTTTAGGCGTATCATAATAATACATTCCAATCTCATGCTGCGTCCTTTGAATTCAAGTTCTTGATTTTGTCTTGCCAAATTTAAAAAAACTTATTGGGATTGGTTCTGTTTGGCTGTATTATTTAAAATTCACATGATAACCACAAAATATATTGCTAGATATCAAATATGTAAAATGCAGATCATTTTAGTTTAGTGTGCAAAGTAGATTTGAATTTTAAAGTTTCAAAATATTCTTGGAATACTGCTTGTATAAGACGGAATACAAACGTGGCCAGTCGTTTATGAACTTTTCCATTATACAAAATCATTACGCTTTAGTTTTTTTGAGTGAAAATAAATGTGATAGATAACTCCCTAGAGTAAATAAATCTATAATGATAAGACATTGATGGTGTTCTATCTTCTTTTAACAGACACTGTAAAATCGAGTACTTAGTCAAGATTTTTCGCTATAACACATTACAAATTGACTAAAGATACATGTCCCTAACTTCATTGCGAAGTTTATAGTTTGGGTTCCTTCTATCTCTATCTACGATAAGATGTAGCACTTCAAGACTTAAACTCCCTTACTTACTTACTCACTTACTTATTTACGTCTGTTACTACTCGTGGAGAAGCATAGGCTGCCCACCAACACTCTCCATCCAACCCTGTCCATACTCCGTATTTATCTTGGCTGTATTATTTATAGAGCGCCTGAAGATGCAATTTTATCACATGAAGAGTGACTTTACAGGGATTAAAGCCAATAAACGCTGTATGAGGTTTAAATAATATACCGTTCACATAAATGTCTTCTCCCCAAGCTTTCGGTTAAAAAGGGGTAAGTGACATGAACTAAACCAAGCTAATCTATATGTAGTAAATATAGGGAATAAAAATATCGTTATGAAGTAATATATTCTTCAAGTAAGTGTAGGTTAGTAGGAAAATGGTTAGCATATTAAGAAGTGATTATGAACCATCTGTCAGATGGAATATTAAACTAACGAAATAACAAACAATTTTTAAATGCCTTCTGTGGTGGACCAGACAATGTATAGACTTGAAAAGTATCAACAAAGTTATTAATGATCAATGGTAATATTAATATATGACAGTTAACTATTACAAATACAATAAGAAATTGTGACTTTACTTAAGTTCACCGAAATGGTGCGTGTTCAGCTTTAGTCTGGTACAGTAAATCCACAATTATAAATGCTTGGTTATTCCAATCGTGTTGACGAACTCTCCAGTAGTGTAATCCAATGTAAGATATGGTATATTCCCACTCACAGTCTATAAATGCAAGTAATATTTGATTTAGCTTTCAGTTAACTCAATCACGAACGAAAATAGAATGAGGGATGTGTGTGTAGCAATGTATTTGTTAACAAGCCACAGTAAGTCACGCTATGTAGTTGCACAACGAAAAGTGTGTTCAATATCATCCACTTAAACAACATGTACAGTCATTTGATGACAAATGTACATACAGCGTGAAATTGACAAAATAAATACAAATAACATTAAAAACTATTCACAAAATAGGCTTGTCAGGACTATCTCCACATAGCTCCCCCCAGAGTGTCCAGAGGTAACACTGGTTATAATAACAACAAAAATGTAAGAATATTGTATATAAAGGTATGCGAAGATAATATTTATAATAATAGCCAACAAAAATGTGGAGATGCGTATGACATGTATCTTACTACAATGATGAATTATTTTTTCATACTAATTTAACGATACACACATAGTCGTTTATTCTTGTCCTGTATTCATAAATACGCCTATTACACTGTCGGCGTATTTCACGTCTCCTTTATTTCTATTCCCTTATTTTCTCCATTTCTTTCTTTAAACTCAATTCAATATTCTTTTCAATTACAAAGACCTCATTTATTATTATTAACATTCTACTATTATTATTCTAAATTTTTTTTAATATGGCAAGTATAATGCTAACATTATTGAAAATTGTGTATTATTGCATTTTCTGAAGAAACCCGAAATGGTTTCTTCACAACACTTATGTACCCATAAGATGTTTGTGAATAATAATAATAATGTACGTTAGCAATATACGGTGTGCTATTGTGTGAAAATAGCAGTGATGTAGCATAGTATAACAAACACAAAAGTAATGAGAATACTGTCATTTAAAGTCATGTTTTGCTAACAATGATAATAATGTGCAGAGCTGTTACTAAACCGACGAGAAAAAAACTGAACTGCTCATTTTTTTGTGTGTACAATGAATAAATAAATAAATAGTTTACTCGTTCATTATTGTAACGAATTTAAAAAATGTGACAAAACGAGTAATTGTGGAAAAATATGAATAATTATGTACACTATGAAAAGGAAAAAAACCATAGATTTTGTCGGAAAAATCGGTTGAGTATAATAGTATAGTGGTTTACATCCAGAAGTCTTGTGAATCCCTGAAATAAGTTAGACTGAAACTGGGGATCACGGTCGGTAGTGACGATGGAAGGTACACCGTAATTTGCTGTCCAACGGTCAAGGAATACGCCGGCAACTGCTTCTGTGGAAGTATCGGCAATAGGGTGAATTCGGTGAATCTGTGCACTGCAGTGAGGATGTTTGTGAATGAATTAGATGGTGGCAATAGACCAACTACGTCTAGATGGATATGTTGAAAACGTTTTTCTGGCAGGGGATACTTGCCAACTGGACTGATCGTGTGCTTCTGAGTCTTGCTGCGTTGACATTGTAGGCAGCTTCGCGTCCATCGTTTTACATCTGAATTGATCTTTGGTCACACAAAACGCCCAGTAATCAGTTTGGTTGCGGCTCTGGTTCCTGGGTGAGAAAGGTCATGCAGTTGACGAAATACTTGTCGATGACAGGCCAGAGGGACGAAAGAGCGGTTATTACCCGTTGAAACGTCGCAAATGATAGATGTGTTAGAAAAAGGTATAGGTACGTGTTTGAATATCAAGTTAGGCTTCTCATGGCAGCTTTTTATTTCTGCGTCGTCCACTTGCAATTTCGCCATTGTTTCCAAATCGATATCATGTTTACGTACTAATGTATTTACATCCTTTCGTGATAAAGCATCTGCTACGACATTGGTATGTCCTTTGACAAATTGAATATCTGTCGTAAATTGGGAAATGTAATCCAATTGTCGTGCTTCGAGAGGTGAATGCCGGTCGTAGGAAGTGTTGAACGAGTAACACAATGGATTGTGAGCAGTCATTATGCTGAAATTTCAACCTTGTAATAAGAAGTTGAAATACTTGACAGCTAAGTAGATGGCTAGTTACTCCCGGCCGAAAGTACTATAGCGTTTCTGAGTTGATGACAGTCTGTTTTGGCGTCAAGAGATAGGTTGAGTGTTTGATTCTTCTCTTTCTTCATACCTTTTTTGTCGGCTTTCAGCAAATCGGTTAACGGTTGTAACACTTCAGCACAACGTGGTAAGAATCGGCGATAGAAATTACACGTACCGAGGAAACGTCGTAATGAGTTCACAGAGGTTGGTTCAGGGTAGTTAGTGATAGCTTCAACTTTCTTCTGAAGTGGTCAGGCTTATCTCCACACTTTAAATCAATTACTTGATGCTGTGTCTTTCACACTTAAGTTGTTTAAGATAGCCAATATAATTAATAATGCACACCTTTACAAATGATGTAATTTGTTTAAATTAAGTAAATAGTACATCTTTTGTCAACCTTGATCCGGAACACATTTTCAAGCTATGTAATCCATTATGACGTGTAAAGAAAAACCATCGAAAAGTATTTTAAAAGCTGATCACGAGAAAGCAAGTGAGTTAATTTCTTGATTTTTGTAGGATACAGTTCCGGGTATCAAAGTTTCAAATCACGATTTTGTAAACATCATAATAACACGTTCATCTTTTTTTCTCTATATATCACTAATTACAAATAAAATATTTCATCACTTAAATATTTGAGGTCAATATTTTATGTTCTATTGCTTTTTGATCATATTATATCAATCCACTGCCAAGATCATTCATTGATAAGTTGTATATGTGCGATTAAGTCAAATGAAATACAATTTATTATTTATTACATATATAGTAATCAAACTTTTTTATGCATTCCATTTTGACTTTTGACGAAGGGCGTTTTGAAAGTTAACATTTATTTGTTTATGGAAACGCTTTTCTGTGATGTTGCTTCAACTATACTGAAAGCTACTAAAGCTGATGTGTTTTACAAATGTTAAAAAAATAATAGAAAGATTACCTTTGGTGCACAAGCATTTACATCGTTCGGCATTGAGCCAAACTCAGAGCGGTAATTAGTTTTTAGTGGCCCGGAGATTCGACTCCAGATTTATCGTTTCCAATTTTTATTGAAATATGATCATCACCAATCCTCGCTACTTAAATTGTGTTAGTGGATAACTGGAAAGTCTGTTTTGAATACGTATATTTTATGCAATCATTAATCCCGGCATACAACCAAAAAAATTGAAGTAAAGAAAGCGAAGAGGAGAGAACATGGCAAAAGGTGCCCGAAAACGCATTATTAAAGTGACATTTTTGGGGAAGATTATCAGTGTTAGTTTTTAATCACGTGAGCATAGATTTTTCTAAAATTGATAGCACGGTATAAAACCCGAACACACTAAGTTAGCATGTTTACAATTTCGTAAACAGCTTGAAATGGTAGATGTCACATTTTCTTTATAAAGTTTACAGTAATTAGTTTATTTATGATAAATATTGATGTTTCATAACCACTCGGTGTTCAGGATTGTATGATGACTATCATTGATGTTTAAATCCCCAGAGTGTCAACAATTATATGTTGCATCTAGTTGTTATTTGAGAACAGAGCCTGTTAAACTGGCGATAATGTAGGTGAAATGATCAATAAACTTCTGAGTCGTAAATATATGATTATAGAAATCTCATTTTAACTTCTAAATCCCTCTGTTAAACAACCAGATCTGGACTTACTTCCTACCTTAATCTTGTTAGAAAATAACAAAAAAATTTATGTTGAGCGAGGAATTGCATTGTGAAATAAGTCTGACAGGCAGACACTTCGTTCTACGTGGTTCTATTTCAAGTAGTGAAGATAATATTTTTTATCGAAAACCTCTTATCCCCTGACAATCTTTTAAAAATAGTAAAAGGAATGCAGAAATCAATACATTTGTGAAAAAGAACTGATAAGGAAAAGTGCTGAGCAAAACTCCCCCAAACAGAAATTAACCAAGTTGTTTGTGAAAAATAAAACGATCAATAGGCAAATATTTTCAAAAAAATGAACCGCTCGCAACGTATGTTATTGGTGTTAATAAACCCCAAAACACGGTGTAGTAGCATAGACTTTAGTGTGTTAGAATGATTTTTTAATTAGTCACTAGCACAATAATATTTAAAGTTTATTCACAGGTAAATCCTCAAATGTTTAATTCTATCCAAATATTTCTATACGAAAAAAATGATCGTCTAATACATGATATGCACAGAAAATACTAAAGTCAAGAGTGTATACCATCAAATCCTATGTAAGAAGTATGAGGGTTATGGGCTTACTGCAATCCATGAAGATCCTGAGTTTGATTTCTGTTGGGATTGTTGCTTCGCATTGCTGGGTAGCTCCATGCTATGACTAAATAGCTGAAGTTGATTGGTGGTGTAGAAGTACGAAGATAAAAGGTTTAAAGGTGTGTTTTATCTTCAGTTGTTTAATGTGTTGAATTTTTCTTCGTTTTAAGACAGTTAGTTAACTGATTGGTAACTTCTCCGGCAGTTTATTTATTTTGCACTCAGCTTTTATGTCCTTATATCAGACTCTGTTTATTTATTATTACCTTTAGTTTTTGTACCTTGAACTGATATCTGGGTTGCTGTTGTATATCTTTGATTATTATTCAAGCTTACGGCTGTTGTCCTGATGAAATTAACCCTTACATGAATTTAGCATAATATTAATATGTCTGGTTCAGTGGTTGCAAAAGTTGTACACAACTATGGCCATAATTCTGAATAGTTCCATTAATTAAAGCTGGATATTGGCTAGGAATGGAATAAAGGATGCGCATTCCGTTCTTTAGGGATATGTTTGCTGGACATACCGACATCTCATTGCTGATATTTCAAAACCATGACGTGAAATCAGTAACTGCCTTTTTAACCACCTAACACATTACTGAGTGAAGCAATGAGTTCAAATAGTTACCAGATTCTGCAGTGGTTGTCAATCCTATCCGTAAGAGTGAAAAAACAATAATCACTTGAAGCAAAAGATAATGAGCTAAAGTTTTGGCCCGAATATTAACAGTGTGATGTACGTGCATCCAGCTAACGTGTCCCAAATGGAAAGAAGGAGAAACCCTGATCTCAAATGCTATACACAGTCTCATCCTCCGAGGAAAAACCTGTAACTAAATGGCAATAATCATGCGTTTCATTCAGAAAGCATGCATGCCAAAAGAGACTGATCAATAGTAGAGAAATACAAATCCTTACAAGTAGATTAACAATCCATTTAGGCCAAAAATGCAAAAGTCTCACCAGATTATCATTAAATTAATTAAATTTTTGTATTCGAGTTTTAATTCATTATAATATGGCTAATGGATTTTAAAAAGTATTTTCTTATCTAAAAGTATTACATTTAATATAAAACATACTTACATTAATGAGAATATTCATATGATCTGGCACATATTTTGTCACAGTTTCTACTTAGTTTGATTTTGATATTGTGATTATTACTCGTACAATTGAAGTTGCTATATTCTAACAACGAAAATGAAAAATAATTTTTTATAGAAAATCCATTTCTTGTTTTATCTATTTACATAATGGATAAGTTGTCTTCGTAAATGTGAATAGTTTCTCACTGGGCATCATATATTTTTTAAGGTTTTGTAAAAAAAACTTGTCATTAGAATTGAAAGTTCACTACGTAGACATCATTTTGCTTTTAAATGAAATCATATATATTATTTTCAGGACAAATTCAATAACCCATCCAGTAAAATATGTTCTACGTGTAGAGAAAGTTAATAAAATTTTTGAAGAAAAGTATAATCCAAGTGAATTGGTCTGTTTGCGTAAAATACCATTGTGTTTAAATAGTATTAACTAAATGGATAAATTATTGATATAAGTGGCTTGGTGCTAGTTTTAGGATTTAAAGTTAATGTGCTCGTCACTAAGTCTGAAGAATTTGGGTATGATTCATTATCAAATCGTCAATGAATGTTGCTCGAGATGCCCTATCAAGGTGACACCGTTTGATGTTTTGAACTATTTGAATTGTAGTATGAACTAAGAATGCCCGAAAAAACGCAGCTGAATCAAGAAGTACTAGATGAGTACAAACGAATGTATTGTATTTAGAATTCCAAATCGAGCAATCAACAAGTACAAAAAACATTAGTTAATTCAAACAACACATACCACTATCCATGTTCGATGACTTTTTAATAATTATCTGGATAAAACTCCAACTTATGTCTAAGAATGTCTTTTACCAGACTATGATCGATTGGCCAAATAATAATTTGTTTGGAATAATTGACAGATTTGAATCAATTCAATCCTTAGAACGACTAAAAATATAACGTTTCAAGATAGTTCATTCTGGTATAAAACAGACTACCTGCCACTTCCAATTATTTTACACCTATAAAACCTACTTCAATATACACACTGACAATATGATAAAACGTTCTTCTATCTTTTTGCCCAGGAATACTTAATTTCATTATATATATATATAACTCTGAAAATTTCAAGATAAATTACCGTAGATATTCTTTTATATGCCGTCAAATGAAAGATAAATATACAAGGATGAATAATTCAGTGTTTATCTACTAATCTACTCGCTCTTGTGGATTTATGTACTAACTTATTCTTGGATCACTTTTTTGTCACACTCTGTGGAATCTACCTGAGTGGTTGACATAAGTAATTGGTACCACCAATTCTGAAACATGAAACAGAAACTGGACGTTCAGTTTCTGACTCACAGTTAAACAATATTTAGAAAATTCAATCAAAGATAATGGAATGTGTTTTCCTCAACCTTTTTTACATTGAAGCAGCCTTGGCTGTCCATAATTTAAAACCTGGTTTATCTAGGGTAACAACAATTTGTTAGATGTTTTTATTTTAATCACAGTCCTAGTTTGTGGCTTTCATTTGTTTATTCAAATATTCACCCCCTTTTTTCTTCCTACTCCTTCGTATGTAAAATAGTTTTAATTCATTCTAATTAACTATCACTATCAATTATTTTTATAAGATTGTTTCAATCCAGTGTTATTGATTGTCCTTTATACATCTTTATCTTAACTTTGCGATATTGTTAGTTACCTTTTTACCTCATCGATCGTATATTTCTTATTTTTCGTAAATTATCTCCTTCAATAACTGTTTTTTTTTATCTAAAATGATATCGTCAAATTACATATGATTAATCAAATTCTAACAGATAAATAATTATACTCAGGAGGCGGAGATTTGTGGTGATTGTAAAGTTTTCATAAATTTTAAACTGTGCACTGATCTTAGTTAAATCCGCATTGAAAACTTGTATGCACTGGATGTTCATTTCATCCAAATATGGAGGTTCTCATTTATGGATATCCAAGAATCTGAGACTGGTAATCGAACTCAGGATCTTCAGTCTCACATATGTATTCCTAACATTCAGAGTACTGAACTGCCACCCAGTGGTATAGATGACTTACGTCAATTAATTCACAATATTTCTCAACCTTTATTCATACCAAAACGAAACGATCATTCGGTGCTTACAAGTTTTCA